TATATATATATATATAAAGCATGGTTTAAAAAAAAGAGAAAAAGTAGAAAACATTTTTTCCCACATCGAGACAAAAGAACACACTAGTCAAAAACATTGATGTGTTTGTCACATACGATCAGGAAGTTATTTGGCCCAGGACAATTCTGACAAGAGGAAGGTGCGATGACAGCGCATGTTTAGCGCTTGTGGTCACATGGTACAAGATCTCCCCTGAGGATGCCAATATGATAAAAGGAAATGGAATTCACAGAGAAGGCAGGAAGCAGTGGAGAGCAACGGTAAGCAGAAGTAGGAGCGGTATGGCCTGAAGTAGCAGGGCGGAGCTCTTGAGCCGCACCTCCACAGGAAAGTTGTCGCTTAGCTGCAGAGCCTGGAAGGAAAAACAACAGACTCAGTTATCAAGAATCAACTACACCCAAGTGAAGAGACCTTTGCTTTTTCTTGTTTTTTTGGTGTGTTGTCACCGCAGAAGGGTGAAATGGAACATCACAAAAAGGTAATACACCACTATGCAATAATGTCAACTGCATTCATTGCTTGTACTTGAAGATGAGCAAATGACTATAGAACTCAAATACATTTCAATTGAGCAAATGCAAACTGCTCACAGAAATATCATTCTGCTGAACACATAATAGCTATTGAGGAGCATTGAAATGTCCACAATATCCTCTTTCCCTCTGTAACGTGACCAGCGTCTTCAAGGGAAGGGTAGGTTTCACACTTCTTTGCTGAATGTACGTGAAGAAAGCTTTGATAGTGTCAATAAATATGTAAACATTATATAAGGATGTGTGACAAGAGCAGAAGCATGCATTACTGTCGTCCTGGTCAGTTTGAACTCTTGAGCAAAGTTGAAGACATTGGCGGAGAACGGCATTATTCCTTTCAGGAAGGACTTCCCGTACACGACGATCCTGCGGGAAAAGATGCAATGTCAGACGTCAATCATCAGTTCAACATGCACACATGCTCATGCGGGCACACACTTACCGATCATATGCGCAGCTTGTCTCGTCCGTGATGGTAGTGTCACTTTTGTCTCCGATGAGCCAGTAGAAGCTATTGTTGGTGAACAGTCGGATGTTCTTCTTGTCACGGCGTGTCATGTAGGCGCAGCCAGCATGAAAATTTCCCAAGAACATCACATTCTACGCACGCGCACGCACGCACGCACACGCACACGCGCGCGCACACACACACACACACACACACACACACACACACACACACACACACACACGCACACACACCATTTACATGTGGGATGGGGACCTGGTGGACATAGGTGCACTCGTGTGGTCACTGGTTTAAACTGCATCTTGCCATTTTGTCATGATGTCAAGCCAAGTCACTTTTGTGTTGTGTGTGTGTGAGCATGTCCGTGCCTCTGGTCTGTGCGTTTCTGACTATACTTTGTGTTCTGTTTTTATTTCAGCTGATTGAGTGGTTTCTGCAAGCTACACACGTGGACATTTTTCATATCCCTCTGTTAACGAAAGAAAAACCCATAGCAGTCATTGATATGACTTGAATCTGACAAAAGTAATGATAAATAAGAAAAAGAATTATGAAAATTAAACAGTGAAAATCAAACATTGCTTTTGAATTGTGGTTCAACATAATTTTGTTAAAAAGCAAACTCACGAAACCCGCACAGACAAAGGATTTGCGGAATTTTTACTGCAACTCTCAAGGCAGTATTTTGGCCCACTCTTCGTGAGCAAACTGCTCGAGTTGTCTCAGGTTAAAAGGGTGCTTCTACAGATGCCATTTTTCAGCTTCTTGCACATCTGTGCTGTATGTTACACATACATACAGCACATTTGACAATAAAGTTCTATTCAATTCAAGATGTTTAACTCACTCACTGCTAGCCATTTTTCTCCAATTGGGAAAGTGGGGACCAGTCATTTTTGACCATTTTGACTCATTTTTTTAAGGCCTACAGAAAATTTTGTTCTCTAGCTTTATAAAAGCATTTAACCTACCAAACAAAAGCATGAGTCCTCTTCTTTCATCAGGAAAAAAAGTGCATTTGACCATTTACCATTCTTTACTAAACAGCATTTGAACATTGGTAAGTTTGTTGAAAACACCCATTTCCAAGAAAAAATCTGAGAAAAATAGCTTTTTGTGAAAGGGTGCATTTCAAGCAGAACTTTCATTTTGATGCAATGTTTTTTTTATTTTCTATACCATAAATATCTTAACATCTCAACTTTGTCGTTTTTTATTTGAAAAAGCTCTGTTGTAGAATTAGCTGCTGTTATTTATCCATGTTCTCAACACCACACTGCTTCCATATGTCACCTTGCGACTAGGATCGCTGTACCACAACCCACACCCACTCACACTGTGTGCAACCAAGATGCCATCTAGCGGTTATTTATCATCCTATAATCATTCCCATACCCTTGATACTGACTGAGGTGCGCAAAGCCATTCATTAATCTGTTTTAATAAAAAAACGCCCAACATGTATTTTTACTTTTTGCACTAATTGATTGGGTTTTGGCAAATGTATTTTTACCTTTTGGCATTAAGTGAATTAATAGGATTTAAATCAGGGCTCATAGGAAGCCGCTTCAGAAAAGGCTGTTGTTTTGATCAAGTCATTGGGTGTTTTTAGCTGCGTGTTGTTGAGTTGAACGGTGTCGTGATGGTTTTACATGTGTGCCCCAAGTAGTGATATAATAATCACAGCTCCAGAGATATTTCTGCATTGCACACTGCAAAGACCAAGACAAAATTAATTCTCCTGGACCCTCCCACACCTTGCCCACCACCTCTCCCAACTACAACCTTCAAGTAAGCACTGTTGAACCATGTGCGCCAAAAACAGCAGAGATTCAAACAGCATCTTCTCTCTTGTCATGAGCTCCATAAACAGTAACTCAAATCTAAAGTGGCTCTTTGCATTTTTGCACACTCCTGTGGGACAGTATTACCGCAATGATCGTTGTAGCTCCAGCTCTGTACATACTTGAACAATTGTTATTGATCAATATTCCACAGCACCAGACACTTTAAAGCGCTCAAGGATTTTCTGTGCTATTGCACACTTAAAAGTTCTACAAATACTGCTACTGGTCCCAAAAATTGTATTGCACCACTGATCAATTTATCTCTGCTCGATGACTCTGCACATTGTCGTACATCTGTTATTGAATGGTACTCCTGCACAATGGTACCCTTACATGACGGAAAGTCTTTTGATACTTATATGTCATGTCTTTGTTTATCGTAGTTGCTTGTGATTGCAATACTAGTGTAGCCTATACTACTAGAGACGAATTCCTTGTATGTTCTAAATACTTCGCCAACAAAGGTGATTCTGATTCTGATAAACTTCTGACCTCACAAGGCTCAAAATAAGCAGCTTCGCATTGCAGTTTACAGCTAAAAATTTGCATTTTGAGCCTCATTGAATAGCAAAACTGAGAATCACTGATTCAGAGTTTTTTTTTCAAACTGCAGATTATCTGGAGGCACGCATGTTAATGTTGCAACAATGTGCGTACATCACCTACGCATGGGACATAGGCGGTCGAGTCAAGCTCAGTGCTGCTCATGCCACAACCAGCTACCTAGCAACAAGCTTCACTTGCTACTAGTGTGGCTAAACATGTTGCGAACTTGCTCCTGAGTCACCAATCAGACTGCTTAGATCGTGCTACATATCTGTCAAGTATTGTTCTCACATGTACGAATTACGTAACAAAAGATTGAGAAGCAACCCTAATTGTTAAGATTAAGCTAAGATAAACATGTATCCTGAAACACCGGAATTAAGTGCTTGGGGTGACTGAGCAAACTGATGACAGAAGTCTGGCTAGAACTGTCTTAAACTGGAGCTTATCCAACTTTGAACAGCAAAGCAGCAGGTCATTTAGTAAGCGTCAAGAGAAATTATACAGAATAATGCTACACACATAGCGAAACAGGACTGGAAATTAATTCTGTTATGTTTCAATGTATGTCAACGTAGAGCGGGAGTCGGCAAACTGCGGCTCTGGAGCCGCATGTGGCTCTTTAGCGCTGCCCTAGTGGCTCCTGGAGCTCTTTCAAAAATGTTTGAAAATGGAAAAAGATGGGAGAGGGAAATATTTTTTTGTTTTAATATGGTTTCTGTAGAAGGACAAACATGACACAAACATTCTTAACGTTTTCCGATGCTGTAAAAATGTGTACAATAAATATTAAATGTCAACATTTCTGTCAAAAAAAGATTTGCGTCATAGCCTGCGACACACGTTTCTATTATCAGGATGGGATGCCAGGCAGGTGGCTGCTGCTTAAAAAAATGGCGTTTCATGGACAATTCACCGAGGGTACTGGCAAAGAATGGGAACCTGGAGGGCCGAGAGAAGCATTTTTAAACTGTCACTCAAGTGACATAGATTGCTTTGACTTGAGTCTTCCACTTGATGGCACTTATGTTGCTTTCACTGGAGCACCAAAAGCTCTGAATCTGTTTCAGCAAAATTTGAAAGAAAGCTGAAATGCTTCATGAAGCTTCACCTGCCTGCCACTCTACTGGATCACTGCGATGACCCAAAGCACCACCTCCTCATCCCTCCAATCAAAAATTTCCTTCCGTGATTTGTGTTGAATTGTCCAATATTGTGACAACTACACTTCTTTTTTTCATTGCCGTCTTCTTTTATGCTCAGGTTTCTTTTCTGTTTTCCGGTGACTTTCTGTGCGCTACTTCAGACTTGGCAAATGACTGACATATTTTCTGTGTCTCCTTGTGGACACGCACACATTTCTTGAAATGACTCATCTGATATTTTTTCCCCCATCTACTTGCTCTAAAAAATGTTCATTTTTTTGCTTTTTTTGTGTTTCGTAAGGCCATAAGGGTAGGATTTTGTGGAAGAGCTGTGATATTGCTTTATTCTCCAAAATGGTGCAATTCAATAATTTTTGTTAGGGTGTGTAGGTGCAAGTTCATTAAGCAGTAGTCAGGTAATCAGCAAGTAAGTGTGGATGCCACCTTGTTGTTCCATTTGTTCAGCACTTGCGTGAGGACATCGTGCAGGCGGTCGATCTCCTGGACAGCTCTGCTTGGGTCGGCATTTAGCCCGACCAGAACAAAATCCTTGATTGCTGACGACAAGAGAAAGTGTCATAAAACACGACAAACACAATGAAAATGGTTCACGGTTAGCTTGCTTACCGGTGGCGTTGCTGTGGAAGTTAACAGCAAACGGCGCTCTGGCAAACTGATTCTGGCCTTGGTACTGATATTGACCCATTACATGCGCTGTCTCTGTCCTGACAATAAAACAGCAGCGTCAAACTGAGTCCAATTTTTGTAAAATGACCATGATTTTTTTGTTTTAAGATTTATTTCAGTTTAGTTCAAATAAAAATGGACAACACCGAACAAAACTAGTTCAAATACAAGTCTGAAATTTTCACATAACTCAAAAATTACACAGAATTGGTCATAATATCATGCTATGTACAGTATATAAGACATTGTAACTGGTGAGTGTTATAGAATTACAACTTCTAACCCATATCCTTGATTTACGTAAATCACACAGAGACGAACAACCATCCACGCTCACGCTCACACCGAGGGACAATTTTGAGTGTTCAATCAGCCTGCCATGCATGTTTTTGGAATGTGAGAAGAAACTGGAGTACCCGGAGAAAACCCACACAGACCCGGGGAGAACATGCAAACTCCACACAGGGAGGCCGGAGCTGGAATTGAACCCTGTACCTCTGCACTGTGAGGTTGATGCGCTAACAACTACCCTGTTTCATTTTAACATGTGGAAAAGTCTTCAAAAAAAAAAAAAAATGTAAATGTGTTCTCCTCAGAACAAATATAAATAAGCAGCTTACACACTTTACACACATTGACCAGCACGTGTATCCACTGCAACTGAAATGTTTTCACAAAAACTAAATAAAACTAAATTGGTTACACGTTTTAAATAGCTTAAATTGTTGCTGCGGACATAAACAAACAATATAATCAACAAAATAATGAACTCTGAAATCAACGATGTCGGTATTTTACAACCGACTCATTTCCGCCATTTTTCGTGACGCCATTTTCATGTGATCTCGTCACGCAAATCTGTTTTGAACTCCTGTCAGAACAAAAAAGGAATTTCGTCTGTTGCCTCGTTTTTAATTTGACGGTTTTCATGCAAAAGTTCTGTTCATAGCACGGATGGTGGAATTAACTCATCTTTAAGGGTTGAAAGCAAGCTTGCACATTTATATTCACCTCCTCCACTGAAAGTTTCAATAGTTAAGTAATTTTGGAAAATCCCAAATAAAACATTTTTGTCATTAAACAAAATACCTTAAATAAAAGCATGAAAAAAAATTGGTATTTTGTAAATCCGACAAAGTGATCGTTTTCCTGAAGTGAGATCAAGGCGAGCGACAAACCTGGAAGTGTGACGTCCCTTCAAGGACCACAAAAGCAGGGCTCACTATGGAAATTGTACGAAGCCAGTCAGAAATAAATTCGGAAAGTGATGTTTCCGCCTTATCTTAGGGGATCCGGGTCTTTGAAGAGTTGGAGGAAGAGGACGTTGTTGGCAAGATGTTGGACCTTACATATATGAGCCAAATGCTCAGAATGCAGAAAATGTTTTGCCCGAACGGTCTGACATGGAGCGGAGACAAAACCCATCTGGATTGAAAGAACAGTAGACTATATAGGCTGCTGTTATTAGCCTAGCGCTGGGGTCGGCAACCCAAAATTTTGAAAGAGCCATATTGGACCCAAAAAAAAAAATATATATATATGTGTATATATATATATGTGTGTGTTTCTGATTCTCCACTTTTCACTGAGGAATGACTAACAGTATTGCTTTGGCGCCATCTTGACGTATCTTGTTGTCAGGGAACTATGTTAAAGTGAGTTGAGGAGTTGAGTTAAGAGACAAGCTGTGCTTTGCTGCCATCTTGTGGCATATATAAACAATTACAAATC